GCAGTTTAATTGAATTGTCAGCCTCCTCTAGCTAAGGCCCACAGGGCACACACCTGTAGTGTGCGGGAGTTCATTACTCAGGAAGCAATGGAGAATGCAAACCCTGGGAACCGTGGGGCGTTTCAGCAATAGGGTGTCAGAAATGACTTTATAGGATTCGGGCTCAGAATAGGTGATTTGGGGGAGTAAACCAGGAGACGTGGGGTTTGTTCTGAATTCGGTGTTGTCAGGGACAATTCTATGCTTGGTTATCTTAATAAACCTTATCTAGAAGCAAGGCAGAGTAGAGAAAGCCTAATGCTGCAGTTGGTAAAGCAGCAGCAGTTACTTATGTTAGCCAGGATAGGGGGAGTTTGGTCATTTTTGTGGTTTGGAAAATGTTCCTGTTTTATCTGTATTCAGACATGATTACAGAGTCGTCTTGTTCGTGTCTTGAATCCTCATGACCACAGAGCGGCCTTAAGTTCTGTGAGCTCATTTATGTTGTCAGGAGATGGCCAAGGCTGAGGCGTGAGCACCAAGGCCTGGTGGAGGGAACGAGGCCCCTCCTGGACGGAAGGGGCTGCTTTTCTCTTGGCCAGAAGGAAGACAGCAGTTGAAAGTATTTCAGATGTTTTCTATGAAAATTAGTTAACATTTGATCTGATTGCCATGTTTGAATTTTATCTGCTTTGATGTAACAAAAGCCCATGAACTGACTGAAAGGCAAATTGCAAAAAGGGAAATAAAAAGCTAAGGGTTTGCAAAACACATAATTGTACTAAACAACAATTTAATCAAAATTTAACTTCTTGACTTTCAGCTATTGTAATTTATAATAATTCTTCTTTCTGTTGCAGTAGAGACCATTGAAGGTTTTCAGTGTTCGCCCTATCCTGAAGTTGATCGTTTTGTTCTTTCTTTGGTGAATAAAAATGGCATTAAAGGAGGTATAGCTAATCTTATTCTTTATTAACTGTTACATAATAAACAGTACCTTTAGAAACATTCTTTGCATTTTAGGAATTCGGCGTTGGAACTACTTTTTCCCAGAAGAATTATTGGTTTACGATATTTGTAAATACCGCTGGTGTGAAAACATTGGAAGAGCCCACAAGAGTAATAATATCATGTAAGTAATGTTAGTATTGATTTGTTTGTATTTAACCAATACACACATGTGTATTTAACTAATATCATATTTTAGGTGTTTATAACTTTTAAGTAAAGTTGACAGTCTAAAAATTTTGCATTTT